CCGATTGACTTGCTGTGAAAACAATTTTCCAGTCCCAAGATACTAACGGTAATCATTTTGCACTACCCCCCCAGCGCGCTATGGAAGTTAAAGAAGAGGAAGCTCGGGCCACTTGCTGTCCCACCTCTTTTCACGTGGCCCCTCATATCAACTTCCAACACTCAAATGTTGAGAAGTTCAACTTTTACGTTGGATATGGAGAAAGAGCTGCATTCCCAAGAGGTTGCTTGACTGTTCTTTTGGAATTTAGTCATATTTGCATAATTCATACCGGCAACTAAAGGGTTGGGTTTTGGAAGGTTGAAGAATCCGCGAGGTTTGATCCGTTCGCGCTTCTTCCTTTGTCGGGCCATCCTCATCATCATGGTTCCAACCCAGGCGCTTTCGCCAACTAACCCTGAGCTCTTTATCTACTTCCTGCCAGTTCCGTGGTACTTGACTATTGTAAGCGGAAATCAACACAGTCATACACCCGTAAGACTCACCACACAGGTTTCTCTCCCTCCTGTTCTAGAGCTGTTTTGGTTTGTTGGACCCATCGGGCTATTTTCCAGTGCTTGTGCAAGTCCAGCTTCGCCTTCTAGGTTGGGGCTGCTGTCGGCTGCGTCAATATTTTGATCGGTTTCTCTGTCTTCGCAAGTTGCGTAGTCGAACATGACGCTCTTTACCAGTAGCTCGTATTCGCATCCCAGCTGACTCTACCGCCTCTGGTCGGTTGTTGGAAGGGTCAGAGGCTTTGTTCTTCTTCAATATACTACCATTAGCCATCCCACTTTCCTAGAGTGAGAGGAACGTTTTGCTTACCGTATCCTTGGGCGCTCGAGACGAGAACGCGCGGCTGAGGCAATTGCAGGTGATGACTGGAAGCCAGCCTGGGAGGCTGGTATCGGCTTCGAGTATGGTTTCCATAGCCGGCACTGTCACCCGGGGACCAACCAAGACCTCTTGGTCCACGTCTTCGGCTGCTGTCCCCCACGGGTGCTGCAACGAGTAAACATGCTCCTCCTCGGAGAGATAAGGACTGGCAGGCGCGATGCGTACGGCACCAGGTGTCTGCTGCGGAAACAACGGCTTCGAAGTTGCTGTTTGTAACCCACTTTCTGGGCCCCCGCTGCCGCTTAGACTCTTCCTGGATTGCCTTCGCCTTTTCCATATCCTGGTGTCTGACAATTTGTGATAAAATGTGTCCAATTGCCGGCATTCGCGCTCCGCCCAGTATCCCTCTGGGAACCAGACCTATTCGTACCCTTCTTTAGCTAGACGAGGAGGGTCAACGCCATATACGGAAGACGGGGCGGCCGATGCCCGTCTGGTGGCCGCGTTTCTCACTTGCCCATCCATCATTTCCATTGGCAATCCAAACTCCCGGAGCATGTAGACGAGGCTCTACTGAGCTGGTTCGCCTTGTTCAACTGACGGCGTCACGGATCTTGAGCTTAGACTAGGTAGCCTGTAAGAGAAGCAAGGCTCTAGAGTATTTAGTGTCAGTCCCAGAAAACTTCACGGGTAATTAGTGGGACGCTCTCACTGGCGGGCTCGGATCTTGAGGGGGGTTAGAACAGGGGCATGCCCTTAGATGAGCAGAAACGAACGGTTTGGATACCTGATCTCGACGTCGATCCGTGTGGCCTAATGATATCCATGAACGGAACGATACCAGCTCCTACAGATGGGAATCGGGAGGCCTGAGTGTGGCAGGAACCAAGCTCCCAAGCTGGTAGGCAAATCAAGATAGAGAAGGGGTACCGTAGAGTGTTGTAATGAGATGCAACGCAAACTCATAAAACATTGCCGCTCTTTCCTTTCAAATGGAATCATCACCACAATCAAGGAAGGCGCGTTCTGGGGGGGTTATGGCTGTAATTACACGTGTGTATGGTTTTCATCATTTTGTCGAGGGCTGCTGTATCTGTCCTTGAACTCAACCGCGAGTCTGTGGATGCGGCAGTCTCCTGTGACATGAAAACTGGCATCAACTTCATGCCGAGTCGCTCGACACAAAGAAGGCTCCTGATTCCGCATGATGGTCTTGGCCGCTCAACAAAGCCTGAGAGGGTTTGATATAGAGGCAAAAGTACCGGCCTGCACCACCCTGTTGAATGTGTACAGCCTGGGGCTGGGTGCGAAAGCAACGGCAAAGGCCACAAAGCCCACGATGACACCGTATACCGAAAAGTCCACGAAAATGTTTGGCCTCCTGGTTACGGAAATCCAGCCGAAAGTATGGGCAATCACTTTCATGAATCGACCAACATTGTGTCATCGCCATCAAATGCAGGCCCAGGCTGTTCGGCAGGAACCCCTCTCCCCCGCCCGGCGAGCAACTCTCTCCTAATCTCCGGGGCGATCTTCTCGTGGCCATGGTTTAGGAGAAGATCCAGCAGTGCCTCCCGCTGATCTTCGGTGACTGGGCAAAAGAACGAGCGTTAGATGCCAGAATACCTCGGAACGATCCGAGCAGAACTCACTATCATTGCGATACCGTTGCGCGAACACTAATAAACACTGGTGGTATATCACGGGTAGCGCTTTAGGGGCAGCGTCTCCATCCCTGGCCGAAGCTGCATAGCGGAGGAAATGGAATACCAAGGAGTCGATGCATTGCCAAGCTATTGGCCTTCAACATTAGCTGGTCAGCGCTCCAAATAAGCCGGGTCCGACTCACGCAGTGCATATCGCTTCTCTAGGAGAACCTTGAGCATGTAATTCGTCGCGCTGACACACTCCGACTGCTGCGAAGCCTGCTCCGCCGCAATATCGCACAGTGTCTTGATGGCCGCCGCCGAATGGAGAACCGGTATAGACACCCTGGCCAAAACGGCAGATATTATTTGCGCCTCACGCAGTGTGCAGGTACCTCGGGCCCAAGTTAGCCCAATCATAGGTTTTCAGCGTCTCGAGATGCTCGAACTCACCAGAAGCAGCTAACGGGAAGAGAAAGCCTAGCGACAAAGGGATGAGTGACACACTCTGTATAGCTTGATCTGAGGACACTAACCCTTGAAAAAGCCGGCAGGCTTATAGAGTCCCCGCTTAAGGCAGTTGAACAAATGGACGTTAAGTTTCTTGTTCTCGTATATATCTTCTCGGACGCGTTCCAGGATGACCATCTCCATAAACCTTTGGACAACCAGTGGCTTAGCCGAGACAAATATTCTTGTCGCTGCATAGCAAGCATTCGGAGTCCTACAAAGTTCGAGAGTCAGCCCATCACTCGTAACTCCATAGACTCATAGCGTCCGCGATGAAAACCCAGACATACCATAAGTCTGGCCGTGTGAGCTGCAAGATGTCCTCCCAGTGCGGTATTTGGGGCAGGATTTTGAATGGCTTCGGCAATGGTCCGGATTTGTACCGAGCAAGAATGAGCCCAATCCTAGCCCCATATCAGCACACCATGCCACGCCAGCGCATGACAGTGCAAACTGAGACATACTTGGTGAAAACTTCAACTACTTTCGGCGGCAACTCGTAATCCTCCTCGACGGGGTTCATCTCCTCGTGCCGTCCGCCCTGCATAGCCTCCTTCTCTGCGATCTTTGACAGAATCAAATCCGCCAGGTTTGTGCCCGGCCCTTGCGCCGTTGAGTCGCCGCTGGGCTTCCCGTCCCAACCATGAGTCAGAAGAGGATCGTCATTCATCGTGGGTGTAATGAATTGATTGAATGTCTCGAGATCGGCGGCATCAACCTCAACTTCCTCCACGACATCCTCCTCGTCGCCCCATGCCTCGTCGTTGGCAAAATCTTCCTCTTGGTCACTGCCTGTTTCCAGCCGAGAAGGATCAAAGTCGAAGGCCGACGGAGCCGACGCATTATTGTTATGGGTGCTTCGCTGAGCGTCTTCTTCCTCTAGAAGGTCACGGCTCATGGCCAGAATCTTGCGCGAAGCTTTAGCGTCGACATAGGCCTGATCCTCCGAGTGCGCCTTGGCAGCCCGCTTCGAGGGTCTCCCCTCCCTGTTCTTCAGGACTCCGGTGGCCAGGAGGTCATCTTCGAGGGGATTGTGCCGTCTCTTATGAGACGACGTCGGTGTTGTTGCCTTGGGCATGTTGGATGTGCTGGTGTGCGAATGTTTCTCCGGTCTTCCGTGAGGATGTAAACCGGTCCGGTCTTCGAGCTCCGTTACAGTCCCTTTGGGTCACTCTTTTTTTGGTGCACTTCTCATCAAAACGTTGCATGTGGGGTCAAACTTGAGGATGGGCTGCACATGTGATTGGATGGAGGTTATGGAGCCACGATCATCTTCGGAAATACCATTCACCGGCTCTTACTGTATCCCGGGCACCTAGGGCCTGGGCTTCCAGGTTCCATTGGGCGGGGGTGGGGCCAAAAAATTCTTATCATAATTTTGTTAGCTTCCATCAGCCGGGCCATGTCCTCTCAATGCCCCGCTATTGGAGTTGCCTGGGCATCACGCACTGCACGCAGTTTGCACTTCCAGTTGCAGGAAGCTACAGAAGTAGATTGGGTTGTGATCTGGACCCTGCTGCATTTTGGCCATGCCAACAGAACTTGAAGAGGTATATGATATCGCATCTTTAGCAAAACCTTGGCACTTGGAACTAATATCAGTCTACCATAGCTGGTAGGGTTCATTGCCCATCCGAATCCTCAGATTCGGAAGGTGGCTATCGAGAATCTTGTACCGTATTCAACCACGCAGCTTTCAATCTTTCAGTCTCAGGAGTTGCAACCTGTTAAACACCTCAAGTTCTTAGTCCGCGACCACCCAGTAAGGCTTACTGCCACTTCGTAGACTGCCCATGCTGAGAGGTCTCGCAGGAAATCGCCGAGCATGCCCTCACGATCTTGGTCAACTTGACTGCCGATCGAAAAGTCCTTAAATACGTAGCCGAGGATGACAGGTTCATCGGAATTGTTCTCGGCAATCTGACTGTATGCATGTTGGCCACGAGCTCGGCCACTCAGCCCCTTAACGCTTGAATGCCGGATGGAAGGAGCTGATATGCAACCCTGACAGGATCCTAGGGAGCCAAATGCGAACCTGCTAGCCATGTTGCTTGCCAACATGGCAAAGTGGGATGGCCTCAAAACCATCATCACCACACGAAAGCAAACTGCGCCTGATCCCTTGAGATCCAACGACCTAGTCCTCAACCAGCTGCTAGACCTATTCGTCAAAGGCGCTGACGGGAGCTACAACAAGAATGCCGACTATGACTACCTGGCATATGTCTTCGCGGACCTTTCCAAGCATGCCGAGATCCGGCAGTTTTTCGTCACAAAGCAAGACTACGACGATGTTGTACCACTCAACAAAATCAAGGTGTTCACGGAGCACAAGTCGGACATTCGGAGGAAAGGCGTCGCGAGCACTATCAAGAACCTTGCGTTTGACATCCCGTCGCACCCTGCGTTTATGGATGAAGACAGAATCCACATTCTGCCCTACATCCTGTTACCCATTATCGGGGGTGAACAGTATGACGAAGAGGAGGCGATGGCAATGCTGCCAGAGCTGCAGCTGCTTCCCCCTGACAAACAGAGAGACTCAGACCCCAGCATCGTGCAGATCCACGTTGAGACCCTGACGCTCTTGACAACTACCAGGGAAGGACGGGAACTACTAAGGAGTATCAGCGTGTATCCGATCATTCGGGAGACACATTTACGTGTTGATGATGAGGGCGTCCGCGAGGCCTGTGAGCGACTCGTCCAGGTCTTGATGAGGGATGAAGCAGAGCCGGGGGCGGAAGCAGGAGCCGAGGAAAACGACGACGACGACAGGATAGTTGAGGTCTGAGAAATCAACCAATCGGCAGTGTCTCGGCGGCATATGCTCCGGTACAGTTCGTGTGATGATATGCCGCTTCTTGATGCGTCTTCGTCGCACTACGTGTGGTGGAACGAGGGTCAAAGTAATCTGCATTGCCTCTTCAAAAACATTGTGAGAGACATGGCAAGACCAAAACACCACAAACCCTAAACACCTAGCGAACCGATGATGGATAGAACGGCCGCATCGCGCCTCGAAGAACCCTGCTCCCAAGTCGTTATGCACGACTTTGGCAGGAGGTCGCGTGCGCAAGTGTATTACACTCCATACCTTCCTTGATGGCCAATAACTTCAGGACTGCCGGGCAGACCTCCATCTTCAGCCAACTCAAACTTAAGCGTCCTATGTCACGTCAGAGGTAATACTCTGTAGCAACAGCATCGACAGATGATCGTCCAGGATCTCGAGACAAGTGTTGTGTTCGCAACCTCGCAACATGACCGTTGTGAACATACTGCCAAATGCCAATAGCGTTAGATAGCATATAGCGTAATCATATGGACAAGAATGCATTACTCGCCAGCACAATAAATCGCCACTAACGTAATGGCAGTACGTAAACAGGAGGCTGAGTGAGCCCCGCGCCGTGTTCCTGCTGTGCTTTTTCTGAGACGGATCTGCGAGATGCTAGCTGTCTCTTCACCAGGAGCTCGATTGGCTGAAGCATTCGACTGACAAGTGGAAACACTACAGTACCTCAAATCCGCGAAGAATGAAACCCAGGCCCTGCAGAGCAATGTTGCACCCACCGAAGCATGTTATTATCCGATCTGAGCATGCTGTTGGTAAAAGATCTGTCGAGTGCATCATGCTGTGAGAAATTGAGAATGCAAACTCGTTTGACGGTCATAGAAATGCTACTAGGTTCCCAACGTCACCCAAATGGATACAATACCAACCCTTGTTTGTTTGTTAGCGCGGAACTCAGGACAGGGGTCCTGGTCTAAATTTCAAAAAAGATACAGCTCAACAGCCAGAGGGAATAATTCAACGCAAACAAAATTGAGCATCTAGCAATGTTCAAAATGGTCGTTTTATTTACCTATTATACCCGTGAGCAAAGTGGCTGTTTTTCTGTCGAGATCTGATTTTGAGGTTGACCCCTGTCTTCAAGTCAGGCGCTAGCGAACAAACAAGGGGGGTATTGTAAAACTGGTAATTACATAAGGTATTGTACTCCATGTACTGTACTGTACCCAGACTATAAGCAACTGGTAATTACAGTAATATAGCAACTATAGTAACAAAACCTGGCCTACACCAGAAAGCGAACCAACGGCCCGCTTTTTCTTTAGAGCGACTTGCCGGTTTTGGAACAGGGTCTGCAAGCCGATTGGATGAAATGACGCCGCCGTTGCTACTTTCCCAAATCCGACATCCGACAACAGCGTTGAAGCTGTGACAGAAAGCGGTTTCCATTTTCCAATTGTGTTCGGGTTGTGCTGTATGCAAGTGGAGGAAGGAGATCTCAGCGCTATAAACGAACCGTTGACACTTGGACAGTGGACCAGCCATTGGACTTGGATCCAGTAGGGACTCGGCAGAAACTCACAATGGCGTCAACCCTCCGCATGTCACAGACAAGGCACGTATCCGTTCAGCAGGGACTGGGCATCGAACTCACCGTAGCTCCCTGAACTGCCAAGACAAGCCGCCTACATACTTATGGAGGCGCAGGTTCATAGATGGTCGCCAATTGCTGAATGTGTTACGAAGAATACCGTGCGCAGGCAGCATCAAGCCTTGAGGTGGCGACAGTGAGTGTCTGCTCCCCAAGCAATGGTCTTATTATCGCAGGCACGACAGCTTCGAGCAATACCACGATCATCCGAAAAGTAAAGCACTATAGTTCTTGTCCTGTTTACGTGGCGGGGAGAGGGGTAGAGCACCCGACCTGCTCTGCCAGATTTCGACTTTGACCATGCAAGGGAGTGTGTACTGTATCGTACCGCTCGCCCCTCGATTGATGCTGGTGGTTTCTCATCTTCATGGCGTCTAAGATATTAGGTCCCTGTATTTATTTGCTTCTGGTTTCCCTCATGTTCCTGTTTCTGTCCTCGTCTTCTCATTCTCATCTTTAGTCTAATCAAATCATATCCTTCTTCAGCACCCAACAACCCAACGCTGTGTCCTCCTCCATACCGTCATGGCCAAGGCGCACAAAACATCTGGCGGCAACAAGGCCTACCACAACTTTCATAACGACTTCTTGCATGTCAAGGACGTCAATGAGCGGAGGCGTCTTGCCCTGGCCGAGGTCGACCGAGCCCCGTTTGGCTGGTACCATGTCCGCGCCATTGTCGTGGCTGGCGTGGGCTTTTTCACGGATTCATACGACATCTTTACCGTCTCGCTCCTGACTCTCATGCTTGGTGTTGTGTATTACCCGGGGGTGGGACATATGCCCATTACCTCCGACACGGCCATCAAGCTGGCTACCTCGGCAGGCACAATTGTTGGCCAGCTTGGCTTCGGCGCCCTGGCCGACGTCGTCGGCCGAAAGCGCATGTACGGCTTGGAGTTGATCCTGATCATCTTCGCTACGCTCGCTCAGGCCCTGACATCGTCATCTCCGTCGATGGATATCATCGCTGTCATCATCTTCTGGCGTGTTCTCATGGTAGGTCCCTCCTCAGCATGCGCCCTCGTCTCGCTCGCTATGGACCCCTGAGTGACCCCCCGCTGCAGGGTGTAGGCATTGGCGGTGACTATCCCCTGTCCAGCATTATCACGTCCGAGTTTGCCACGACAAAGTGGAGAGGCGCCATGATGGGAGCTGTCTTCGCCATGCAAGGTCTCGGCCAGCTCGCTGCTGCTTTCGTCATGCTGTTCCTCACACTTGGCTTCAAGAAATCCCTGGAGGGCTCTACGGGACTCGCAACTTGCACTGGTAGCTGCGCAGAAGCTGTTGACAAGATGTGGAGAACTTTGATCGGCTTTGGCGCTGTCCCGGGGTGCATTGCGCTCTACTATCGTCTGACTATTCCTGAGACGCCTCGCTACACATTCGATGTCAAGTTGGATGTCGAGCAGGCTGAGGGCGACGCTGAGGCCTACCTCAGGGGCAGGCCCAAGGGCAGTCCGGATCAGCTCGCCCGTGCTGTGACGCAGGCTAAGGCAAACCAAGAGATGAAAGCGTCAAAAGCCAGCTGGAGCGACTTCTTCCGTCATTACGCTAGACCGAAGAACGCCATGCTCTTGGCTGGGTGAGTAGCCGTCCCGAACGGATAGTAACGATGCGGCTTGGGCACTAATCAGGACCTCAGAACAGCTCTCTCGTGGTGCTTCCTAGACATTGCCTACTATGGTATCTCCCTCAACCATGCCACCATTCTCAGCGTGATCGGCTACTCGACTGCCGGCGCCAAGAACACATACGAGATCCTGTACAACACAGCAGTCGGCAACATGATAATTGTGCTGGCTGGTGCCGTGCCGGGCTATTGGGTCACGGTGTTTACCGTCGACACGCTGGGGCGCAAACCGATCCAATTCATGGGCTTCGGCATCCTAACCATCCTCTTCGTCGTCATGGGGTTCGCCTACTGGCACCTTTCGCCCAGCGGGCTGCTCGCCATCTTCGTGCTCGCTCAGTTCTTCTTCAACTTTGGGCCCAACGCGACCACCTTCATCGTCCCTGGCGAATGCTTCCCGACGCGCTATCGCTCTACCTCGCACGGCATCTCGGCCGCCATGGGCAAGATCGGCTCCATCATCGGCCAGGGCGCCATCGCACCGCTGCGCACACGTGGTGCCGTTCCTGGTAATCCCAACCCCTGGATGGACCACGTCTTGCAGATTTACGCCCTGTTCATGTTCCTCGGCCTGGGCACCACGGCCATGATCAAGGAGACGAAGCGCAAGACGCTCGAGGAGCTGGCTGGGGACGAGGACGAGGACGAGAACCGCACAACTGTGGGCCTGCCCACAACGGAGATGGTCGAGGCGACGCCTGCAGTTGCTTCTGGCGCTAATGGGAGCGGCTGCGGAAGCGAAAACGAGATACGCCAGGATACAGGTGAGAGTAAATAGTGAATGAGATTACCTATGAGTTTGGATCTCTCCTTCTTCGCTATGGGGAGGCTTGGCGGTTCGAAGGTGTCGTCAAGGCAAACAAAAGAGATATATTGTTACGACTCTTGTTTACGATTGGTTCAGTTGGTGCAGGCATATATGAAAGGGAAAGAGCACTGTAAAGTTTCGAAAACGGACGCATGAGTGTTAAGATGAATCTTATAAGCCACGCTATCTATAAGGGAATAGACTTGAGCAAAGCTGATAAATCCCATAGTGGGTAAGGTAGTTGTTCTACGGAGACGGCCCTTCAAGCTGTATTTGGATGACTCAGGAGTCAGGACTCAGTTGCTTCCCTTCTGTTAGCCCGGTCCCTGAGCTGTTGACTGACACATTTGACACAGATTATATGGAAGTGCAAATAACATGACTGGATATTCACGCTAAGAATTCGGGGTATATTATAGATAAAGAGCCACGTGAATCTATATACATTTGAAGAAGTGTTTCATTACCCCCAAGACCTGCTGAGCTGGAAGTCTCTCAACGCGCCATCTTGTTCGTTCCCTTCCGTGCCATGCGCTTTTGCGTTTGTTCATCGGTTCATAACCCGGTAGGCATTGCCGATGTCGTGAAAAGCCGGATAACCCTCATCCTCTCACCCCCATTAAACTAACGGATATCATCCATCCTCGCCCCATTTCCATTCCCATGCCCATTCCCTATCCCATCCCCACCATTCCCACTGCTACCAGAGCCATTTCCAACTCCAACCCCATTCGCATTCCCCCCGGCACCGCTACCTGCCACGTTCCCCGCTCCGCCAAAGAAGAAGCCCTCAAACAGGTCTAGATGCGGTCCGTCGCTAAAGTCATGATGCTGGACCCCTTCCCAGCCAAGCCCAAAACCCAGATCCATCTGGGTATCAGCCAGGCCGCTAAAGTCGGCACCATCCATGATTCCCGACGCACCAGAGCCCGCCGAGCCCGGGCCTGGAGTCTGCAGAAAATCCATCCCCTGCAAGTTGCTAAAGGGTATCGTGGTACCCGGGCTGAACGGCTGCTGGGGCAATTGTTGGTGTTGCTGTTGTGGGGAGAAGAAGCCGCCTGTCACGTCCGTGGCTGGTGAGCTTAGCTGCGTGGCAGCGGGCGGAGTGGCATTTGGTTGCTGTTGTTGAAGCTGAGGCTGGGTTCGGGGGTTGGCTTGTAGGATTGTAGGAGATGGGACCAGGGGCGGGTCGATGGATAGTGCCTCGGGCGTGACAGGATTGGGAGCATTACCTCCAGCGGAGCTGGCGTTGCTGCGCGGCGGTAAGGCGAGGTTTTGCATCATGGAGAAGCCATCCGCGTCAGACTTGGTGGCAGCCGGTTGCGGGCCGGGCAGACGGTATGGCGCGCCTTGCTGGAAGGGGGACAGCAGTGAGGCGGACGCGCCGCTATTTGAATGGCGATCCGAAGCAACGTCGATATGCGGCGGCCGTGCCGAGGACCGGTCTTTAGACAGCTGGTGCTGCTGGTGGCGTCTGTATTGGGGCTTGAGGCTCGATATAGATGTATTCTCGCTTCCGGAACTCCAGTCCGGCCGGTGATCAAGGCTGCTTCTGGAGCTGGGGTGGGTGTTGGTGCGGCCCGACCGGTACTGTTGGCCAAAGCCGCCGGAAGCATTGACCATCTTGAGCGTGGCTTTGACAGTTCGATCGAAAGCGTCCCGGCAAGCCTCGGCAGGCGGACACTTATCCATGAAATCCGTAAAGACAGATGTCGCTGCGAGGATAGTGAAATCCACCTCGTCCATAGTCTAAAACCGGTGAGCAACGACACAAACCTTGGCTCAACAAATAGGGGTTTCGTACCAGCCGGCTCCTTACAATAGGAGAATGCCAGATGGCGTAAAGGTACGATATCCCAGCTACGAAGAGATGGTGCGTGGTCAAATAGGTGTAGTTGACTAAGCCCACCAGATGCAGTTGGCGATATAGGCGCAAGACTTTTTGCCCAGCCTCGGCAACCTTGAGATAAACTCGTTCTTCGTCTTCGCGGAGCTCTGCATTATAGACGGCGGGGCTGTTCACCTCCTTCGTTGTATCGTACTCGCCCTCAAAGACGGTGGGCACGCTGAGGCTCTGCCTGTAGAGCATGATAATGGCTTGCCAGTAGTTGAGGTCCAGGAACTCGGTCGAGAAGGCCACGCCAGTATCTTGCTTCGTCGGCGCCGAATTCTTCCATTCCCACAACCGCTTATCAATATCGATCCGCCACGACCGGAACGAATCGAACTTTGACAAAAACGGTGAAGGTAGGGAGGTATGCATATAGGGGTTCTTGGGGTTTAAACCGCCGGTCCTGGCGTTCTGAGCCTGTCGAAACAGCAGGACCTGAAGTATCTCGGACTGTAGAAGCCTGAGCCGGAAGTAGTGATGGGCGACTAGCTTGTAAGTTGGCCGCAGCATCTCAATAGGCGGCTCGACGATGCCGGTTTGGGTGATGTATCGGTCCTCGAGCAAGGAGGGAAATTCGGTCGTGATAACTTGGTCCGAAATCCCAGGCGGTCGTCCGACGCACATGCTAACCAGACGGTCATATGAGTAGGTACACCACCACAGCCGTCGCCTCAAATCGCGCACATACTCGCGCCTTCCTCTCTCTTTGGTGACTGCCTCCTGGGAACTCGTCGTGTCGCCGAGGCCGGCCTCAACATCCTTGCCGTCCTCGTAGTGCAATCCCAGATCAACCGCGAGTCTCACTGCGACGCCAATGATATACCTGAAAGAGAAGTCAGATGTGAACCGAACGGAGAGGGCCTGCAAAGTGCGCATTCTAGGCGTTGAAAGACTCACCACAGCCCGGGAGGTACGGGTCTCAGCAAGGCAAAGTTAGCTAGAAGCAGCACAGCCTGCAGATTTTCTAAACCACCGCCGCTCCCAAGACAGGCCTCTAGGTGAACAATTGCGCTGGCGTGGTATTCCTCGGGCTGGCACTGCCTCGATCCAGCCGAGGCGCTACCAGACTCTGTGATGATAGGGTGTTCGCCTTTGGAATCGCCTAGGATGATGCCCGCTCCAATAGCGAAGACCATGTTCAGCACATAGAGTTCCCGCGGTCCACGCAGTCGTCCTTGGTCAGCATACGCTCGTTCAAACATGTCCATGAAGTCGACCCTGTGGAGGACAGGGATTTGGGGATTAGCGTGCTCAAAGTATAGAGTAATAAGCCTCTTCCCAAGCTTCTTATCAGGAAATGTTGCTGGATGGATCGTTGGCTTGGTATGTAGGCCGAAGAAGGAATCACGCATCGACGTGCCCGAGCCGGACGCGCCGGCGCCATTGTTAGGGCCGGGCCGGTACGGCCGTACACCCCCTTTCTCCGAGTTTGACTTTTGATCTGAAACAGACGATTGGACAGCGGCGAAGACTACACGGGCAAAGGATATCCCGGACGTCGAACCCAGGTGCCGGCTAATCCCAGCGCCGACGGTGTCAGATGAAGTGGACTTGGAAGCAAGCGGTTGCAACCTGCCCGTGCCGTCACCACCATCACCCTCGGTCTTGAGACTGCTGGTAGCATCTGCCCCTTCCGATTGGGCTGTTTCTGTGGGAGACCGAATGCTGTTTGACCCGCTGCCCGACTTGGAGCAGTAGTCGAGGTTCTGGGCGGGTGGAAACGGGATGTTGCTGGCAGTCAAAAGGCCCTCAAGCTGCTCAACCCGCTTTTCCAGATAGAAAATGTAGCTCCTTGGTATCTCTCTCTTGGTGATTGGATCGTAGCCAACGCAGGCGACACTGGCCTTTTCGCAGCTCGCGCAGCTGGGGAGTTTCTGGTCACAGCGATTCTTGCGCAAACGGCACCGGTTGCACGCGCTCACATTGCGGAAGCTGCTGCTTTGGCCGACCTTCCCAGCCAGCCCAGGGCCGGTGTGGCCCAGCGACCCGTCGTGTATCTGCTCGCTCGTCGGCGAAATCGAGAGGAGCGACGTGGGCGAGTCCTTATCGGGGGACGACTGGCGGTGGCGTTTGGATGGATGGATGTCCGGGGACGGCGGGGCGTGCGCGGGTGCCGGCATCTTTCCCGGGGGGGCCAGCCCTTTCGAGACAGTTTGAGTCACGGCCGGGGAATTTGTCTCGGTCCAGGGCGACTCTGTCGGTCTGTCCGAGCACACTGTAAAATTGGCGTATATGATATGGACACGGCACACGGTGGCCTCGGGTCCAGGGTCCTCGGTGGACGGGGAAGGTTGAATGCGCGCCACGCTTTAATTATACTTAGCGACGAGAACACCGAAAGAGAAACAATCCTCTGGCACCGGGAGCACTCTAATCAGGATAGCTCTCCGCGCGCAAGCTACGTTGGCTCCATGCTCGATGCTTGAGCCAACAAACTAATTATCTTGGGTGGGTTTGCACTGTCTGCGAGACTGCGGCCGATTTGGTCGCCGCACACGGTGGAGTCGATTAAGTTAGGACCCAAAAACCGGACCTCACGTCGCCCGGCGAGCAGCTAATAACGGGCGGTACTTGTACCTTAAATTCGCCGATGAAGCAAGCTCAATATCATGGGGTGGTGCGACTGGACTTGCTGATGCTGAGCGGAACGGCCAGGAAGACGCAGGCTGAGTGAGAGCTTTGTTTGATCGACTAGACAATGGATTGCGTGAAATAACTCAACGTACGGAGTATGTACTGTGAGGTGGTTACTATCAAAACTTCGTGGGAGCGATCCCCTGCAAGACATGCCGACGGCAGCACAAGGCAGCACAGCCAGGCAATGGAATTGATAAGCCACCCAACGTTTAGGTAAGGTAACCTAGGCGCAGTACAATACAGTACAGTACATGGTTACATCATTACATGCCTAATGTACTGTATGTACATACAGTGTATACAATACCAACATACAATACAGAATTACAGAGGTAATGTCGCAGCCTTGGACATCAATTGCTTACCTCCCAAATTCTCGACATTTTGCCCGATACCTTAGGTATCTGTTTTTCCGCCCGGGAAAGCCCATCGGATTCCAGGATAGAAACTTCAAGAATGACTGTTTCGCTCAAAATACGGGTAACTGGATCTCGCCAATTGCAAATTGCAAAGAAGCGGCGTCCAAGACTGCCTGTGCCTCCCTCGCCTATCGTCCTATGACGGGCCGAGGAGCCATGCTAAACTGTGGTATCGATAACATCGGACTGTGCCTCGTATTTTACCGTACTGTGGATAATTTGAGGTAATTACGAGGGTGGAGTCCAGTGCCAATACCCAAGCGACGAAGTTTACCTATATGTTTGGGGAACCAACAAACTATGTAACATAGCGAGCTCCCCAAGACCCCAACGTCAGTTATTAAGTGTATGTCCCAGCACCAATGAACCAAACACCCATAGCTATCTTACCAGGCAACAGTCCGCGTACCTCCCTACTGCTTCCTCAGCTGGGAAAATCTGGGACTAAGACAGCATGAAATCGGAATGGAAGTACAAGGCCGGGAAGGAGCGTTTTACCAGAGAGCAAAGATAGGGTATATAATTGTAAACAACTAGCTGCGAACAAGGACTTCCGGAACGGAGAAGACCTCGGCTAATCAATTCTCTTTCCCCCAGCATAATACGGTAGCATCCAATCCAGGCTGTGGTATGTTAACCAACAACTTGGATGACGGTCCCCTGGTCAGCCATCTCTCTTCGCCGTGGAAGGCAATGAGAACGTGACAGCCACTCATGAAGTGATACCTGTAGTGCCCGTTCCTCCCTTCCCTGCCCTAGGATGCCAAACTCCGCGAGAGTCGCTACACCTTGGACTCTCGCTAAAGCATCTCGCGCCAACGCATATTCCTTTAAATTAGCAACCGCCTCCCAGCGCAGTACCCGTCTATCCCAACAAAACTCCGAAAACTGATACCCATTGCCGAGGAAAATGTGGGTGAAAATGTAAACTCCTGAAACTTCACCTTGACCGTGTGAAAAAAACGTCGCCCATCCATCTAGCTTTGACCGAGCGGTCGCGGCTCTCACCCCACGGAGGTGTCGAGCCCCGACGATCCGCAAACAAAAAGAGAGAATTGAAGAGCGGCGTTATTCTTGTTCCATCTCTTCACGATCCATAATGTCTTGTGATGCTGGGACTGCCTCGATGTCCTCTTTCTCGTCCATCCTTCCTCGAGGTTCCGTAATCTGCATGCCGACATATGCGCCACCTATTGCTACCAAGCCGGTGACCCACCACGATAGAATCGAGTAGCCGCTCTCCAGACCCATCGTATAAAATACCCCAGAGATTATCGGCCCCAGTCCCCGGCACAAGCTGGCCGTCGAGCCAGCAGCACCGTTAATGGTACCCAGGGCCAGTGTGGTCGGTGCCGAATTGCTGGTGAGCATGGTGTTGCTCGGATAAGCCAGCGTCGAAAAGGTGCATTTCCAAACCACGATGGCGTAGATGCTGACCATACGAAGGTTGTCAGGCAGGAGGACGATGTAAGGCGTCAAGAAATACAGCATCGGATAGAAGAGGCTCATCAGCTGGAAGACGCGAAGCGCTCCAAGCTTCTCGACGATCCGAGGGAAAATCAATCGTGTTGAGGCCATGGAGTATATGCCTTGGACTGACAAGATGACGCCGATCGATTGGGTATCCAAACCAAAGCCGCCGGCGAATTTGAAGGGAAGTGACGCCGGCTCCTTGGAACCTGGGGGGTTCGTACTGAGGAATACTGGGAGCAACGCGTCAAATACCATGGTGTGGCTTAGGCAACGGTCAGCACCACGCTTTGACAGTTTCTTGGGCAAGGACGGGGGGCTTACAATGCGAGGATGCCGTATGAGGCAATGATAATAAGGATTGGTTTCGTGAAGATTTTGCCCGGAGGCTTCGTTTCGGATCTGCACGATAATTGACTACCGTCCGCTTGTTCAAGGTCAGGAGAACCGTCAGCGAGAGTGTCTGCGCGGGATGCCAGGCGCGGCGAGCCGTCGTTCGTCAGGTAACCAGGCAGTGGCTCGTCGGTTTCAAAGAGGAGAGGTTGCTCCTCGGCAGACTTGGCAGGCGCTTTGCCTTTGCCATTCCTCCAGGGCAGGCGAGAAAGTAGAAGTTTGCCAAATTCTAGGCCACGGTCGCGCTGCTCCTTCTTTTCGGCGTGCGTCTCTTCCAAGAACAAGATGCCAATGATAACGCCGATGAACACACAGACGGCGCTGAACAAATTCGGTAGCAGATACGGAAACCGGTCCCAAAGGCTGCCGGGGGCGAACACAGACGGTAGCGTCTCGACCGGCTTTGCCAGGGCGCCTCCGATCATCGGCCCCACGATCGAGCTGCCGATACAGTCAGCGCCATCGTCTATGCTATTGGCGAAGCGTGTTCCACCCACCCGATGCACCAGACCGTGGGCATGACCGAGTACGCCTGAGCTGGAGCTTACGTTAGTAAAACCCGGTCATTTTGACGACCGCTGTAACTCACGCTGGTGCTCCTTGACTTTGATAAGTTCTGCTACGGTCGTCTGAATCACTCCGATATTGCTTCTGCCGTCAGCTAGATGGCTCTGGAAGGTCCTTGCCGCGCGTCCACGATCTGGGTGGCTTACCCGTTCAGAAACCCTCCCAAGGCACGGGCAAGCAGGGCGACTTGAAGACTTGGGGCAAAGCCAAAGATGAGGACGCTCAAGCCAGTGCCGCCCATTCCCATGAGCAAAACCGGTTTTCGCCCGATTTTGTCACTGAGTCTTCCCCAGAAAACGCTGGTCAAAAACTCGGCAAAGGTAAACGCCGATGTCACGCAGCCAGCGTAAAACGAGATCTGGCTCTCATCCTCGGTCAAGTGGAAGTCCTTTACCATGTGGTAAATGTAGGGGAAAATGGACATGAAAGCAATGGGTTCGCATATCCGACAGAGCGCTGTATCAGTGTTAGACCGGATTGCTTCAAGGTTTGCTAAGCCAGTCGGCACTACACACCGAGAATGAGCAATTGCCTTGAAGGGTATGGTGGAGGCCCCGGGACGGCCGCGGTGCGCTGTATCGGCGTCCGCATGCTTGGACAGTCGGCCGGTCTTCGATTCTCGAAGACCCTCGTTTCCTGACAGAGAGCTTCAAGTGATCCTGGGCCCGGCCTGGAACAACTTAAGAGGCACACGGGATGCTGTTGAGCCTGGCAGGTTGCTCGCGGAACTGAGACACGGAGGAAGCCTCAGACTTGAGAGATTTGCAAAGATTATGAGTGTCAGGGCCTGCGTGTCGAAGGGAAGCTAGTCACCTTCTAACGCAACGGAGTGGGAGGATGGAAGAAGGTTAAGGTATTACTAGCGTAATATTGGAAGGAACGAAAGACCACGGCAGTAGAGTCGTGCGGGTAGAGGCTGGGAGGACTGGGGAGGGTATTTAAAGAACGGCGGTAACTGGGGCAAGAGGGAGTGAACACAGTAATAGTGTGTATAACTTCCATGGCAGAGTGCGGTGTAATCCACCAAGAAAGGGTTCCAAGAACACCGGCCATGGGGGTGAAAAAAAGGCTGAGAAGGAGAGGTCACCGGATCATCCATCTGACAGTGGGGATCCTTGCGCACGCGGGACGTTGGGAAACTAACGTTAGGCATAAAACTATCTCCAAGGGAAACGACGAAACGGCGGTGACGAACTGACGAACTACCGGTACCGCCCTCAGGCTGGCACCCAGGGGGAGAGAGACAGACGATCCTGGGGAGGCACTAGGTTGGTTCAGGACTTTAGGTAGTACCAACAGGTACGAAGTGAGAACGCGGCGGATGTGGGTGGGAAAGCGTCGAACGTGATTCTGGGCAACGACCAGGGGTCTTGAGAAATCTTGGCGCGCCATGGACATGGCTGGTTCCCGGCTGCCACTGCATCTTTTTGCTGATGGATCCCATGTCGTGTCGCTCTTGCAGCTCATCCATGGATTTTCCCATGCCTTGCAGGCATGCACCGACTGCGTCTGACGGGTCAATGGGCTTCGTCACCGTTTCGCCGGAACGCGGGATTCGTTGAAGCCATGAAGGCCTCTGCCGTTGGATCCCAGGGACCGACCATTGTGCACGCATTTACGAAGTACATACGCACTGTTTGTGTGCTCTCCGCCTTTTGCCATTTTGGTCAGTCCAACCAGTACGCTGTGCTGTCGCTAGGTCCCGGTTGCTTACTCGGCAATGCAGTTAGCGGGCATGCCAAACACAACCGCGCGGAGCGATCGCCTTGCGGAATGTCCCCGGCGGTTGGCTGCAAGTTGGAGCGGGCTCGGGTAAGGCTCGGTGCATGCCGCGGACTTGCGGGCTTGCTCATGAACTACAGAAGGCTCCTTCTTGGGTGGCTCGAGGAGTCGGGACATCTTGGTGACGATCATCGCACAGCAGAAGCGGGTCGCCAGGCCGCCTTCCCGGAGAGCCCCTCATATAATAGCCGCGTCGTTTCTAGCATGGGGTATGTATGTACTGTACACAGAGGTGACCGCCCGGCGGTCACCTGCTCAAACGGCGGCTGGCGGCGGTGGTGACATACACTCGTTTTGGCTGTGATTGTGTGGGCAGACCGGGAAGAAGCCGAGTGGAAAAATGGGACAGTCGCTCCGAGCTTGCAAAGTGGTATTGTAAGGGAGGTATGTATGTACGTACACGTACTTACGATTTTTACTGTACAGTACATGGACATCTGGATTGCAGCCAGCGCAGTCGCGATTCGCGGCTACTACCTGGGTAGGTAGCACTGCCCCCCTGCTGAGCCTGGTGCGTTGGTGACTGAAGAACAAAGGTGTGTTAGTCCGTCGCATCGATCCTCTCGGGTCTTACGATGCGAGGAACCCGAAAGGGAGGAACAGCGAGTGACTGTACTTCTAGTGTAGCGTATGCCAGGAACCACTCCAAGAAAAGTGAGGCGTTCGCTCGACGCCCGGCCACGCCCATCCTCCCTAAACATGTAGATAGACTAACGTTAATTGGGCCGTCATTACCACGGGGCGGAGTGCAGCGCAATCCCTCGAAACACTTTGGTTTACAACACGAATATGCGCCCTCTACGAAGTACATGCAGTATACCTACACCACCAGGTACCATGCGGTCATTGTGGAAGCTCTGTGTGCAAGTATCCCGGCGGTAGGAGGCCACCGATGTCTCATGGGAAGCGTTGTCGGTGAGCTGACCGAACAGCCCCCGTACATCAAGACGGCTGGGACGGGTAGTCGAGGACTTGAGAGGCGGTGAATGCCTCAAGTACTGTAACGTTATGTACTTGTACATATAGTGTACTGTAATTACTTTGGACTTGGCTGGGGACCGGCGAATTGCGGGATTAAGGTTAACCTAAACCGCCTTGTACGGTACTGTACTGTACAGTACTGTAGCCGCTGCTGTAAATGTAATATGTAGAAGTGAGGGCAACTTGAGCTACAGTCAAAAGTACCCGATATGTGACGCAAGAACAAGAGCACTAAATATCGGGAAGCAAGCGATGGAGGCAGATTGACTCAAGGGTGTACCTACAATACTGGTAGCCGCTCTTGGCGGGCCGAACGGGTGCAGACGCTACCTTCGTCGCTTTTTAAAGCACATAGGTATGCGATCGAGGGGAGAGATTCCTGCAATCGTCGATCGTTGGGCAACGATATGCATGAAGCATGATGAGCGTAGTGGTGCGGCCATCCACATCGGTTTTTACTAAACTACTCCGTACCAAGACTCGATGTCTTTCGAAGGCTGTATGATTGATTACAGAGTACTAAGCCACAACTATATCGAAATCGCACAGCAATCCAAGCGAATACTACTGTAATCATCTATGTACATGCGCACTAGGTACAATGACTATTCTAGTAGATTCAAGGTGCATGTCTATACAAGCGTACTGTACAAGCTAGGTTACACAGTTGGAATGTTTGATGGATATGTAGAGTATGTGTACACTGACTGTGGTAATTATCGGAGCTGGTGACAGGTGGTCCCGTCAATACCTAGGCGGCGGAAGATTAGCCGCTCCGACAACCCGGGGCGATCAGTGACAAACGGACGTGCGCAGTCTTGCGCACATGAGATCGAAGATGCATATTTTCCGTTACCTATCCGAGATCCATCATTGCCGACACCTTGCGCTAGTACGCGGCAGACTGGCAACTGCAAACAAGCACTTTCGCTCAGCAGCAGAAGCCCAAATCATTAGGGCGACACTTTTAGGTTCTCCGGCTAGTGACGAAAACACGGCCCCCTAGAGCGAGAACATTAGAAGACAAATAATGATAATAAATAAAAAGGTTAAAGAAGGGAAGAAAAAAGGCAGCAACCAGGTGAAAGAGTGAAGTTGAAGTTGCTTCCAGTTATAGAGTCCTCGACGCCCGAGCCGATCTCTTCTCAAAACAAAAACACCGAGGTCTCTCTACGGAGTATCCCAGCCTCCTTCGTACGTATTCTACACTACCTGACACTACACGTGTAAACCGGGTACCTCAGGTACCTTAGCTACCCGCTTCGCAAGTGACGTAAGGGGCAATTCGCCCCCAAGTTAGCCCAAGAACTACCGGTGGGTAAGGTAGCCATAACTTTCGAACAACTGCCCGTGTTACTTCGTACAGGGACGCTGTGCTCGAAAAACCCATCTTGTGCGATTGTATGTACCTAGGTAGATACCGACACTGCCTACCTTAGGTAGTTAGGTACTCCGTACTCTACGCAAGGTACGTATCAGGTATGTCAAGTTTGACCTAGCCAAGGTACGGAGTAATTACATGACTAATTATACATAGCGGAGGATGGAAACGTGTTGATGGAACAGAACCTAGTGTAAACCAAGGTCGGTGAGGTCGGTGTTGTTTGCGGTGTTCCGAGTGGCTGAAAGGCTGTCCAAGTGGTTGGGCAGCGCGGAGCCCTACAGTACTACACTAGTGTATGAGTGAAGCTAACCCGCACTCCTGGGTCGGTCAACCCTGCAGTTATTGCTTCTTCCATCACCATTGGTCAGCGCTGTTACCGGACGAAGGCTCCGTCGTCTCGCTAGGTACGGCCGGAGATGATGTGAGTTTTTTGTTTGAGAATCCAGGTACTGTACTCCCGATTTGTGCTCAAAGACGACCGCCGGAAGAAGCACGGCATCCTAGTCCCGCCCGCGGGAAGCTACCCGGGCTTCTTGGCAAGGCGTCTACAGTGCATACACTATGTAGTGTTACGTACAGTACCGCACTATTGTAATTCAATGAGTCCTACTAGTACCACTGCCAGTGTGCTATCTTTTGTAGCGTATAGATTAACAGTAAACTAATTTCCAATTGTAGTGGGCAGCAAACTAGACGTACTGGTCATTAGCTTAGCAGCTTAGGATCTCTTGCATCACAGCGTTCAGGATTCCATTGCTATAGTGTACTACTTCGTAGTATGTATACACTAGTGTACGGAGTACACCACCCCAGTCTCCGTAGTGTAAAATGGATGATTGGCGATTGTTTCAAAGTGCGGAATATTTTGTCCCGACAACACTGCTAGGGCCCGGGCGGTTTTAGTGTTACATAGCTTCCCAGTGGCAAGCCAACCGGAATCTGTCCCAGAGCATAGACGCGATGAGTGTGGATGCTCGCGCCAGGAACCATGTGGCAAACCTGCCGATGTGGTGTGGACGTACATACCTACGTCTAACCGGTGATCTCCACTTCGTCGCCTAGAAATTTTTAACTCATACCATCGTGAGTAGGGAGTTTGACATTCGTCAGACCTTGACAGTGGAGTTTCTGGCGGGCCGACAAAAGACATTGCCAGATCTTGTCAGGCCTTGGCAGTCCCCAAAAGTGGGGTACTGTCTGTGTCTGACGAGTGTCAAACTCCCTACTTACGATGGTAACGTTATCAAGACAAGAGGTGTGATGGGTCTTCTCGTGCCACCCCTCTCCTTCCGCGGCACGCGATCCTTTCACCGCGGAGGAGGGTAGATATCCCGCTTTGTCCCTGTTTCCCAAGCAATAGGATAAGAGCCCCGCTGTGATCCGACTGGACGAAGCCCCACGAGATCCCCAAATGCCAGTACACGTAAGAAGGTGTGTAAGTGTGCAGTCTTCTCCAGCAAGATCGGGAGAGCTATCACCCACCAGATTGCCAAGGAACCCAACGCGGCTGTTGTTCATGGTGAGAATGCCGGCTGCGGTTGACAGGGTTCTTTGCCTGCAAGCTCGCTTCCAGAAATCTGGCTTTCCAGTTTTGGCAAGGCCATCCAGATTGTCGGGCCATGTGACAGCGAGGCAGCGAGTGGTCGTTTTCATTTACAGTACTGTAGTGTAAGTTACCGTACCTTATCATTGCGTGCATACATACGAAGATATGCCAATCAGCGCAGAGAATACTACACTTAACTTTCCTAGGCCTACAGATCATCGAACACCTTACCGAGAATGCGATCAATCCATGATGAGCCGGATGTGTGATGCGTTACTAAACACCTGAAAGCGCTATGTAACGTTATCACTGGATACCGTATTATTCGTGCTGTGTGGGGTGGATTGATGGGCGGAGCTGTCCCGTCGATTTGGGACGTCAGTTAGTCCCGTTTCGTTTCATTGGCCAAGAATCTTCTCGTGTTTCAAGTACGCATGCGTGGGCAATCATGTGCCTTGTCTCCCAGGGTATTCTAGTATACACTACAGTGGTACATACCTTAGATACACGCACCTTAGGCAGACAACTGCGTGACCAGAGACACTCGGAGCTCTCAAAGGCGATACCATTAAAACGACGGCCTCTCTCCATTAGAGCGACCGTGACACGGACCACTTACCATATTCGGCTCAGGCGAAGCCATACGCCACACACCCAAATTTTGCAGGGCACAACATCAAAGTACCTTGACTTCCATGCAGTTAAATTGACGGCAATTCGTCCACACGCAAGCCCGTGCTGAATCGCTCAAAAATGCAATAAAATCTGCATGCAAAATCGCATGCAAAAATGCTGCCCAACTACACCGCCCACCCGCGTAAGCGCTGCCTGCCCAATAGGTGGCTGCTGCTGCCCTACCTGTAAAGAAGTTCACGTGGTCATAGTGGGTGAAATTCTGGGTGGTCTTGCGCATCACCGAGTTCGAGTACATCGATATTGGTCCCTGCAAAATTTGGGTCTGTGGCGTATGGCTTGGCCTGAACCGAATGTGGTAAGAGACTCCACGGTGGTCCGTGTCGCGGTCGC